CACGCTGTTCCGGCATCGGCGCATCCACACAACATCATGGATGCATGCCGGGTCCAAGCAAGAACATCTGCTGGACTACATAGTGACGGACCAGCGAATGCGAGCCCATGTCCTTGACACCAGGACCTACCGTGGAGCTGATCTGCCCTCTGACCATCGACTAGTCATCTGTAAGATGCGCCTGCCATTCTTCCACTCCGGTGGTGGGTGTACACCCAGGACCCCATTCCAACCTAAAGTGGCCTGGTCTCAGTTATCTGATGAAAGTTGCAAGCGAGAATTTCATCATCGCTTGCGGCTGGGATTGGCATCGTCCCCGACTCCTCCTGATGTCGAGGGTAAATGGGCGAGGTTTAGGACTGTGACTCATGCAGCTGCAATGGCTGCTTTGGGTACGCGGTCCAGACCTCCCCAGACACCCTGGATGACAGAGGAGTTGTTCACGATGGTTGAGAAAAAGCGACAGGCCCACTGTCATCGGCTACAGAGTCCCACGTCAGAGAATGAGGAGGCTTACCGCAGCCTTCGCTCGGAGGTTCGGAGAGCCGTGAGGCGCTGCAAGGATGGGTGGTGGTCGCGGGTTGCTGAGGAGATGGAGTCTGCCTCAGTGGCCCGTGATCACAAATCTCTATTTAACTCCATCAAAAAAGTAACCTGCAGCGCCACACCTATTACCATAATTAGGGGAAAAAACGGCGATCCAATTTCCGACCCCCAGGAACAGGTTCGCAGATTTGCTGAGCATTTCTGTGAGGTCCTGGGGGAGGGAAAATCCCTCAGCCAGGAAAACATCGTGGCACAAAGTGAGGATGACCCTGCTGAGGCTGCGGTGCCTCAAATATTGGATGAAGTCACCCCCTGTGAGTGGCTGGCTGAGGTGCCATCTGCTGAGGAAGTATTGAAGGCGATCCGGAGTCTGAGACCAGGAAAGGCAGCGGGCAGAGATGATCTTCCAAGCGAAATGCTGAGGGAGGGTGGCGTTTGTGCACAGACTGCCCTATATGACATCATAACAACAGTCTGGACCACTGGACGGGTTCCGCAGGATTGGAAGGATGCCCTGGTGGTCCCCCTTTTTAAGAAGGGGGACCGCACAGACTGTAACAACTACAGGGGCATCTCACTCCTCAGTGTGCCGGGAAAGGTCCTGGCAAGGATTATTCAGCATCGCCTTGCCAGGCACGCTGAGGAGAGGCTTGCGGAGCCCCAATGCGGTTTCAGGAAAGGGCGGTCCTGCACAGATGCCATATTTTCTGTCCGTCTGCTACAGCAGAGGTGTAGGGAATTCCAACAAGACCTACATCTCTGCTTTATTGACCTGGTCAAGGCCTATGATACCATCAGTAGGCCTGGGCTCTGGGTCGTTCTTCGTGCTTTTGGAGTACCTGACCCTCTGCTCACGATCATTAAGGACCTTCATGATGGTGAGCGGGCCCGGGTAAAACTACGTGGCCGGGAGTCAGAGCCATTCCCTGTACACCTTGGGGTGCGACAGGGATGTCCTCTGGCTCCCACATTATTTAACATCTATTTTGACCACGTAGTTCGTGAAGCCTTCAATAGCTGTACCGGGGGAATCTCCATATGGTACAGATATAATGGGAGGCTAATCGATGCCCGGGTGCGGTCAAGGGATGGCTCCCTATTGCTCAACCACGTTATGTATGCTGATGACTTGGTAATAGCTGCTCAGTCAGAGGAGGAGTTGGAGACGCTGCTGCTGAGACTGGAGCGTGCCACTAAGAGGTGGGGCCTTACCATCAGCCCCACCAAAACCAAGCACCTGCCTGGGTATTTTGTACCATCGGACACTCCACCCCCACAACTCCCAATCGGTGATGGGGCAGTTGTGGAGAGAGTGGAGAGTTTCCCATACCTGGGCAGTGTGCTTATGACTGGCACCAGTTTAACCGCAGAGGTCTCACTCCGAATCAGTCGAGCGGCAATATCTTTTCATCGGTTGCGTAACGCTGTGTGGAAGCTACCTGGTCTGTCGCTCCGCACTAAGCTTCAGGTCTTCTCGGCCACGGTCATTCCCTCCCTTCTCTACGCTTGCGAAACGTGGACCCCCCTAATGGAACATCTTCGCCGGTTAGAAACATTTAGGCTGGCCTGCCTACGATCCATCCTGGGTTTAACCAGACTGGATTGTGTGAGGAGCTCACAAATCCTTGAAAGATCTGGGCAGGGTCCCATCGGTGAGCTCCTCCGGCAGGCAAGGCTGCGATGGCTGGGTCATGTAGCCCGCATGCCCAGCCACCGCATGCCGAAACAGCTTTTGTTTGGCCGGATTGAGGGGGCTAAGCGGGCGCGGCACGGGCTAGAGAAGAGATGGAGTGATGTGGTACAGGAGGACGTGGAGCTGAGTGGACTTGCCGATGACTGGTACCAGCGGTGTCAAGATCGGCCTCTGTGGAGGAGGCTCGTGAAGGATGCTACTGGGCAGTTGGAGGCAGTCGCCCTCCAACAACAACGGAGGGCGGAGGAGCGACGCTCACAACAGCGAGCGGAGCGCCGGGTGGCTAAAGCACAGCAGGTTGGCACAGTAGGGGGCACAGGTGGTGCATCAGCCAGTCATCTCAGTCAGTCGACCCGTGGCACCTGGGTCTGCCCCGTGACCTCCTGCCAGCGGGCGTTCGACACTTCACGTGGCCTCAGGGTGCACATAGCCTGGCACAAGCGTCGTGGTGACGTCACCGCCACTTAGTGGCGAATGGCGGTTGTTGTTGTTGTTGTTGTAACACTGTATGTGTGTGTAACACTGTGTGTGTGTATGTGTGTGTAACACTGTATGTGTATGTATGTGTGTGTATGTGAATGTATGTGTGTGTGTGACTGTGTAACACTGTGTAACACTGTGTGTGTGTAACACTGTATGTGTGTATGTATGTGTGTGTATGTGAATGTATGTATGTGTGTGTGACTGTCTGTGTGTGTGATGTGTGTGTGTAACACTGTTTAACACTGTATGTATGTGTGTATATGTAACACTGTGTAACACTGTATGTATGTGATGTGTGTAGCACTGTGTGTGTGTAACACTGTATGTGTATGTATGTATGTGTATGTGAATGTATGTGTGTGTGTGTAACACTGTGTGTATGTGACTGTGTGACTGTGTAACACTGTGTGATGTGTGTGTAACACTGTGTATGTGTGTAACACTGTGTAACACTGTATGTGTGTGTGTGTAACACTGTATGTGAATGTATGTGTGTGTAACACTGTGTAACACTGTGTGTGTGTAACACTGTATGTGTGTGTAACACTGTGTAACACTGTGTGTGTGTAACACTGTATGTGTGTATGTATGTATGTGAATGTATGTATGTGTGTGTGTGACTGTGTGTGTGTGTGATGTGTGTGTGTAACACTGTGTATGTGTGTGTAACACTGTGTAACACTGTATGTATGTGTGTGTAACACTGTATGTGAATGTATGTGTGTGTGTGTGTAACACTGTTTAACACTGTATGTATGTGTGTATGTGTAGCACTGTGTAACACTGTGTGTGTAACACTGTATGTATGTGATGTGTGTGTGTATGTGTGTGTAACACTGTGTAACACTGTGTGTGTGTAACACTGTATGTGTGTTTAACACTGTATGTATGTGTGTATGTATGTGTAACACTGTGTAACACTGTATGTATGTGATGTGTGTGTGTATGTGTGTGTAACACTGTATGTGTGTGTAACACTGTGTGTGTGTATGTGTGTGTAACACTGTATGTGTATGTATGTGTGTGTATGTGAATGTATGTGTGTGTGTGACTGTGTAACACTGTGTAACACTGTGTGTGTGTAACACTGTATGTGTGTATGTATGTGTGTGTATGTGAATGTATGTATGTGTGTGTGACTGTCTGTGTGTGTGATGTGTGTGTGTAACACTGTTTAACACTGTATGTATGTGTGTATATGTAACACTGTGTAACACTGTATGTATGTGATGTGTGTAGCACTGTGTGTGTGTAACACTGTATGTGTATGTATGTATGTGTATGTGAATGTATGTGTGTGTGTGTAACACTGTGTGTATGTGACTGTGTGACTGTGTAACACTGTGTGATGTGTGTGTAACACTGTGTATGTGTGTGTAACACTGTGTAACACTGTATGTGTGTGTGTGTAACACTGTATGTGAATGTATGTGTGTGTAACACTGTTTAACACTGTATGTATGTGTGTATGTATGTGTAACACTGTGTAACACTGTATGTATGTGATGTGTGTGTGTATGTGTGTGTAACACTGTGTAACACTGTGTGTGTGTAACACTGTATGTGTGTATGTATGTGTGTGTATGTGAATGTATGTATGTGTGTGTGTGTGACTGTCTGTGTGTGTGATGTGTGTGTGTAACACTGTTTAACACTGTATGTATGTGTGTATGTGTAACACTGTGTAACACTGTATGTATGTGATGTGTGTAACACTGTGTAACACTGTATGTATGTGTGTATGTATGTGTAACACTGTGTAACACTGTATGTGTGTATGTGTGTGTAACACTGTGTGTGTGTAACACTGTGTGTATGTATGTGTATGTGAATGTATGTATGTGTGTGACTGTATGTGTGTGTGTAACACTGTGTAACACTGTATGTATATGTGTGTGTGTAACACTGTGTAACACTGTGTGTGTAACACTGTGTGTGTGTAACACTGTATGTGTGTGTAATACTGTGTAACACTGTGTGTGTGTAACACTGTATGTGTGTGTATGTGAATGTATGTGTGTGTGTGTGTGACTGTATGTGTGTGTGTAACACTGTGTATGTGTGTGTAACACTGTGTGTATGTATGTATGTGTATGTGAATGTATGTATGTGTGACTGTATGTGTGTGTGTAACACTGTATGTGTGTATGTGTGTGTAACACTGTGTATGTGTGTGTAACACTGTGTAACACTGTATGTGTGTGTAACACTGTACGTGTGTGTATGTGAATGTATGTATGTGTGTGTGACTGTATGTGTGTGTGATGTGTGTTCACAGCTCGAGAAGTTCTCCCGTGATCTCGAGTTTCTCCGCTGGGACTTTGCGGACAGTTTGGAGGTTCCGCCCGGGGTGGTTGCCTACATCGAGTTCCTGCACGTCTCTCCCCTCAAGGTGGCGCTAGCCGCACTCACAGTGGCGCTACTCCTGATGGTAGCCCTACTGATAGGAGTCGTGGGTGGGTGGGTGGGTGGCCGTGTGGGTGGGTGGCCGTGTGGGTGGGTGGGTGACCGTGTGGGTGGGTGGGTGGGTGGCCGTGTGGGTGGGTGGGGTTCACGGTGACCGTGTGGGTGGGTGGGGTTCACGGTGACCGTGTGGGTGGGTGGGTGGCCGTGTGGGTGGGTGGGTGGCCGTGTGGGTGGGTGGCCGTGTGGGTGGGGTTCACGGTGACCGTGTGGGTGGGTGGGGTTCATGGTGACCGTGTGGGTGGGTGGCCGTGTGGGTGGGTGGGGTTCACGGTGACCGTGTGGGTGGGTGGCCGTGTGGGTGGGTGGGTGGCCGTGTGGGTGGGTGGGTGGCCGTGTGGGTGGGTGGGTGGCCGTGTGGGTGGGTGGGTGGCCGTGTGGGTGGGTGGGTGGCCGTGTGGGTGGGTGGGTGGCCGTGTGGGTGGGTGGGTGGCCGTGTGGGTGGGTGGGTGGCCGTGTGGGTGGGTGGGTGACCGTGTGGGTGGGTGGGTGGCCGTGTGGGTGGGTGGGGTTCACGGTCGCCGCACTCACAGTGGCGCTACTCCTGATGGTAGCCTTGCTGGTAGGAGTCGTGGGCGGGTGGGTGGGTGGGTGGCCGTGTGGGTGGGTGGGGTTCACGGTGACCGTGTGGGTGGGTGGCCGTGTGGGTGGGTGGGTGACCGTGTGGGTGGGTGGGGTTCACGGTGGGTGGGGTTCACGGTGACCGTGTGGGTGGGTGGGGTTCACGGTGACCGTGTGGGTGGGTGGGGTTCACGGTGACCGTGTGGGTGGGTGGGGTTCACGATGACCGTGTGGGTGGGTGTGTGGGTGGCCGTGTGGGTGGGTGGGGTTCACGATGACCGTGTGGGTGGGTGTGTGGGTGGCCGTGTGGGTGGGTGGGGTTCACGGTGACCGTGTGGGTGGGTGGGTTTCACGATGACCATGTGGGTGGGTGTGTGGGTGGCCGTGTGGGTGGGGTTCACGGTGACCGTGTGGGTGGGTGGGGTTCACGGTGGCAGTGTGGGTGGGTGGGGTTCACGGTGGCCGTGTGGGTGGGTGGCCGTGTGGGTGGGTGGGTGACCGTGTGGGTGGGTGGGTGGGTGGCCGTGTGGGTGGGTGGGGTTCACGGTGACCGTGTGGGTGGGTGGGTGACCGGGTGGGGGGGTGGGTGGGTGGCCGTGTGGGTGGGTGGGGTTCACGGTGACCGTGTGGGTGGGTGGGTGACCGTGTGGGTGGGTGGGTGGGTGGCCGTGTGGGTGGGTGGGGTTCACGGTGACCGTGTGGGTGGGTGGGTGACCGTGTGGGTGGGTGGGTGGGTGGCCGTGTGGGTGGGTGGGGTTCACGGTGACCGTGTGGGTGGGTGGGGTTCACGGTGGCCGTGTGGGTGGGTGGGTGGCCGTGTGGGTGGGTGGGGTTCACGTGACCATGTGGGTGGGTGGGTGAGTGACCGTGTGGGTGGGTGGGGTTCACGGTGACCGTGTGGGTGGGTGAGTGACCGTGTGGGTGGGTGGGGTTCACGGTGACCGTGTGGGTGGGTGGGGTTCACGGTGACCGTGTGGGTGGGTGACCGTGTGGGTGGGTGGGTGGCCGTGTGGGTGGGTGGGGTTCACGACGGCCGTGTGGGTGGGTGGGGTTCACATTGGCTGTGTGGGTGGGTGGGTGAGTGTCCGTGTGGGTCGGTGAGTGAGTGTCCGTGTGGGTGGGTGAGTGTCCGTGTGTGTGTGTGGGTGAGTGTCCGTGTGGGTGGGTGGCTGTGTGGGTGGGTGGCTGTGTGGGTGGGTGAGTGTCCGTGTGGGTGGGTGGGGTTCACGGTGGCTGTGTCTCTCCCCCAGCTCCACCTGTCTCTCTCTCTGACCGCTGGTGCCGAGGAGAGGAAGCGTGGAGGAGGAGGTGCCGGTGAAGGAGCTGAACTTCCCATCGAGAGCCTGAACATTCTGCTTCAGAACATCGGAGCTACACTCACAGACACCCACGGACTGGTGTTCAAGTAGGGCTGGGACAGTCACTCAGTCAGTCACTCAGTCACTCAGTCAGTCACTCAGTCACTCAGTCACTCAGTCAGTCACTCAGTCAGTCAGTCACTCAGTCAGTCACTCAGTCACTCAGTCACTCACTCAGTCACTCAGTCACTCAGTCAGCTGAACTTCCCATCGAGAGCCTGAACATTCTGCTTCAGAACATCGGAGCTACACTCACAGACACCCACGGACTGGTGTTCAAGTAGGGCTGGGACAGTCACTCAGTCACTCACTCAGTCACTCACTCAGCCAGTCACTCACTCAGTCACTCAGTCACTCAGTCACTCACTCACTCAGTCACTCAGCCAGTCACTCAGTCACTCATTCACTCAGTCACTCAGTCACTCAGTCAGTCAGTCAGTCACTCACTCAGTCACTCAGTCACTCAGCCAGTCACTCAGTCACTCACTCAGTCACTCAGCCAGTCACTCAGTCACTCAGTCAGTCACTCAGTCACTCACTCAGCCAGTCACTCAGTCACTCACTCAGTCACTCAGCCAGTCACTCAGTCACTCATTCACTCAGTCACTCAGTCACTCACTCAGTCAGTCAGTCACTCACTCAGTCACTCAGTCACTCACTCAGTCACTCAGTCACTCACTCAGCCAGTCACTCAGTCACTCAGTCACTCAGTCAGTCACTCAGCCAGTCACTCAGTCACGCAGTCAGCCAGTCACTCAGTCACGCAGTCAGCCAGTCACTCAGTCAGTCACTCACTCACTCAGTCACTCAGTCACTCACTCAGTCACTCAGCCGGTCAGTCACTCACTCAGTCACTCACTCAGCCAGTCAGTCACTCAGTCAGTCACTCACTCACTCAGTCACTCACTTAGTCACTCAGCCAGTCACTCAGTCACTCACTCAGTCACTCAGTCAGTCACTCAGTCAGTCAGTCACTCAGTCAGTCACTCAGTCACTCAGTCACTCAGTCAGCTGAACTTCCCATCGAGAGCCTGAACATTCTGCTTCAGAACATCGGAGCTACACTCACAGACACCCACGGACTGGTGTTCAAGTAGGGCTGGGACAGTCACTCAGTCACTCACTCAGTCACTCACTCAGCCAGTCACTCACTCAGTCACTCAGTCACTCAGTCACTCACTCACTCAGTCACTCAGCCAGTCACTCAGTCACTCATTCACTCAGTCACTCAGTCACTCAGTCAGTCAGTCAGTCACTCACTCAGTCACTCAGTCACTCAGCCAGTCACTCAGTCACTCACTCAGTCACTCAGCCAGTCACTCAGTCACTCAGTCAGTCACTCAGTCACTCACTCAGCCAGTCACTCAGTCACTCACTCAGTCACTCAGCCAGTCACTCAGTCACTCATTCACTCAGTCACTCAGTCACTCACTCAGTCAGTCAGTCACTCACTCAGTCACTCAGTCACTCACTCAGTCACTCAGTCACTCACTCAGCCAGTCACTCAGTCACTCAGTCACTCAGTCAGTCACTCAGCCAGTCACTCAGTCACGCAGTCAGCCAGTCACTCAGTCACGCAGTCAGCCAGTCACTCAGTCAGTCACTCACTCACTCAGTCACTCAGTCACTCACTCAGTCACTCAGCCGGTCAGTCACTCACTCAGTCACTCACTCAGCCAGTCAGTCACTCAGTCAGTCACTCACTCACTCAGTCACTCACTTAGTCACTCAGCCAGTCACTCAGTCACTCACTCAGTCACTCAGTCAGTCACTCAGTCAGTCAGTCACTCAGTCAGTCACTCAGTCACTCAGTCACTCAGTCAGCTGAACTTCCCATCGAGAGCCTGAACATTCTGCTTCAGAACATCGGAGCTACACTCACAGACACCCACGGACTGGTGTTCAAGTAGGGCTGGGACAGTCACTCAGTCACTCACTCAGTCACTCAGTCACTCAGTCACTCAGTCACTCACTCAGTCACTCACTCAGTCACTCAGTCACTCACTCAGCCAGTCACGCAGTCACTCACTCAGTCACTCAGTCAGTCACTCAGTCAGTCACTCAGTCAGTCACTCAGTCACTCAGTCACTCAGTCACTCACTCAGTCACTCAGTCACTCACTCAGCCAGTCACGCAGTCACTCACTCAGTCACTCAGTCAGTCACTCAGTCAGTCACTCAGTCAGTCACTCAGTCACTCAGTCACTCACTCAGTCACTCAGTCAGTCACTCAGTCACTCACTCAGTCACTCAGTCAGTCACTCAGTCACTCAGCCAGTCACTCAGTCACTCACTCAGTCACTCAGTCAGTCACTCAGTCAGTCAGTCACTCAGTCACTCAGTCACTCACTCAGTCACTCAGTCAGCTGAACTTCCCATCGAGAGCCTGAACATTCTGCTCCAGAACATCGGAGCTACACTCACAGACACCCACGGACTGGTGTTCAAGTAGGGCTGGGACAGTCACTCAGTCACTCAGTCAGTCAGTCACTCAGTCACTCAGTCACTCAGTCAGTCAGTCACTCACTCAGTCACTCAGTCACTCAGCCAGTCACTCAGCCAGTCACTCAGTTACTCAGCCAGTCAGTCACTCAGTCACTCAGTCAGTCACTCAGTCACTCACTCAGTCACTCAGTCACTCACTCAGTCACTCAGTCACTCACTCAGTTACTCAGCCAGTCAGTCACTCAGTCACTCAGTCAGTCACTCAGTCACTCAGTCAGTCACTCAGTCAGTCACTCAGTCACTCACTCAGTCACTCAGTCACTCACTCAGTCACTCAGTCAGTCACTCACTCAGTCACTCAGTCAGTCGCTCAGTCACTCAGTCAGTCACTCAGTCAGTCACTCAGTCACTCAGTCACTCAGCCAGTCACTCAGTCACTCAGTCACTCAGCCAGTCACTCAGTCAGTCACTCACTCAGTCACTCAGTCAGTCGCTCAGTCACTCAGTCAGTCACTCAGTCAGTCACTCAGTCACTCAGTCACTCAGCCAGTCACTCAGTCACTCAGTCAGTCACTCAGTCACTCAGTCACTCAGTCAGCCAGTCAGCTGAACTTCCCATCGAGAGCCTGAACATTCTGCTCCAGAACATCGGAGCTACACTCACAGACACCCACGGACTGGTGTTCAAGTAGGGCTGGGACAGTCACTCAGTCACTCACTCAGTCACTCAGTCAGTCACTCAGTCACTCAGCCAGTCACTCAGTCACTCACTCAGTCACTCACTCAGTCACTCAGTCACTCACTCAGTCACTCAGTCACTCACTCAGTCAGTCACTCAGTCACTCAGCCAGTCGCTCAGTCACTCACTCAGTCACTCACTCAGTCACTCAGTCACTCAGTCACTCACTCAGTCACTCAGTCAGTCACTCAGTCAGTCACTCAGTCACTCAGTCAGTCACTCAGTCAGTCACTCACTCACTCAGTCACTCAGCCAGCCAATCACTCAGTCACTCAGCCAGTCAGTCACTCAGTCACTCAGTCAGTCACTCAGTCAGTCACTCACTCAGTCAGCCACTCAGTCAGTCACTCAGTCACTCAGCCAGTCACTCAGTCACTCACTCAGTCACTCAGTCAGTCACTCAGTCACTCACTCAGTCACTCACTCAGTCACTCAGTCAGTCACTCAGTCACTCAGCCAGTCACTCAGTCACTCACTCAGTCACTCACTCAGTCACTCAGTCACTCACTCAGTCACTCAGTCAGTCACTCAGTCAGTCACTCAGTCACTCAGTCAGTGACTCAGTCACTCAGTCAGTCACTCACTCACTCAGTCACTCAGCCAGCCAATCACTCAGTCGCTCAGCCAGTCAGTCACTCAGTCACTCAGTCAGTCACTCAGTCAGTCACTCACTCAGTCAGTCACTCAGTCACTCAGTCAGTCACTCAGTCAGTCACTCAGTCACTCAGTGATGTTGATGTTGGTGATGGTGGTGATGTTGATGGTGGTGATGTTGATGTTGGTGGTGATGTTGGTGATGTTGTTGATGTTGATGGTGGTGATGTTGATGCTGGTGATGTTGATGGTGATGATGCAGGATGGCCTATTTCCAAGTGAGTTATGAGTTCTCAACGCTGCAGAAACTCCTCGCTGATGCTACAAAGCACTACACCAATCAGGTACTCACCAACTCACTCACCTACTCACTCACCTACTCACCAACTCACTCACCTACTCACTCACCTACTCACCAACTCACTCACCTACTCACTCACCTACTCACCAACACACTCACCTACTCACCAACTCACTCACCAACTCACTCACCTACTCACCAACTCACTCACCAACTCACTCACCTACTCACCAACTCACTCACCTACTCACCAACTCACTCACCTACTCACCAACACACTCACTCACCTACTCACCAACACACTCACCAACTCACTCACCTACTCACCAACACACTCACCAACACACTCACTCACCTACTCACTCACCTACTCACTCACCTACTCACCAACTCACTCACCAACTCACGCACCTACTCACCAGCACACTCACCTACTCACTCACCTACTCACCAACTCACTCACCTACTCACTCACCTACTCACTCACCTACTCACCAACACACTCACCTACTCACTCACCTACTCACCTACTCACTCACCTACTCACCAACTCACTCACCTACTCACTCACCTACTCACCAACTCACTCACCTACTCACTCACCTACTCACCAACTCACTCACCTACTCACTCACCTACTCACCAACACACTCACCTACTCACCAACTCACTCACCAACTCACTCACCTACTCACCAACTCACTCACCAACTCACTCACCTACTCACCAACTCACTCACCTACTCACCAACTCACTCACCTACTCACCAACACACTCACTCACCTACTCACCAACACACTCACCAACTCACTCACCTACTCACCAACACACTCACCAACACACTCACTCACCTACTCACTCACCTACTCACTCACCTACTCACCAACTCACTCACCAACTCACGCACCTACTCACCAGCACACTCACCTACTCACTCACCTACTCACCAACTCACTCACCTACTCACTCACCTACTCACTCACCTACTCACCAACACACTCACCTACTCACTCACCTACTCACCTACTCACTCACCTACTCACCAACTCACTCACCAACTCACTCACCTACTCACCAACTCACTCACCTACTCACTCACCTACTCACCAACTCACTCACCTACTCACCAACACACTCACCTACTCACCAACTCACTCACCTACTCACTCACCTACTCACCAACTCACTCACCAACTCACTCACCTACTCACCAACTCACTCACCAACACACTCACAACACACTCACTCACCTACTCACCAACACACTCACCAACACACTCACCTACTCACCAACTCACTCACCTACTCACTCACCTACTCACCAACTCACTCACCAACTCACTCACCTACTCACCAACTCACTCACCTACTCACTCACCTACTCACCAACACACTCACCAACTCACTCACCTACTCACCAACACACTCACCTACTCACTCACCTACTCACTCACCTACTCACCAACACACTTACCAACTCACTCACCTACTCACTCACCTACTCACCAACACACTCACCAACACACTCACTCACCTACTCACCAACACACTCACCTACTCACCAACACACTCACCTACTCACCAACACACTCACCAACTCACTCACCTACTCACCAACACACTCACCAACACACTCACTCACCTACTCACCAACACACTCACCTACTCACCAACACACTCACCTACTCACCAACACACTCACCAACTCACTCACCTACTCACCAACACACTCACCTACTCACCTACTCACTCACCTACACACTCACCTACTCACCCACTCACTCACCTACTCACCAACACACTCACCAACACACTCACTCACCTACTCACCAACACACTCACCTACTCACCAACACACTCACCTACTCACCAACACACTCACCTACTCACCAACTCGCTCACCAACACACTCACCTACTCACCTACTCATTCACCTACTCACCAACACACTCACCAACACACTCACCTACTCACCTACACACTCACCTACTCACCAACACACTCACCAACACACTTACCTACTCACCTACTCACCAACACACTCACCTACTCACTCACCTACTCACCTACACACTCACCAACTAACTCACCTACACACTCACCTACTCACTTACTCACTCACCTACTCACCTACTAATGTCATAAATTCTAGATTTGCATTTTAATGAGGGAAATAAGTATTTGATCCCTCTGCAAAACATGACTTAGTACTTGGTGGCAAAAGCCTTGTTGGCAATCACAGAGGTCAGACGTTTCTTGTAGTTGGCCACCAGGTTTGCAACACATCTCAGGAGGGATTTTGTCCCACTCCTCTTTGCAGATCTTCTCCCAAGTCATTAAGGTTTTGGAGGCTGACGTTTGGCAACTCGAAACCTTCAGCTCCCTCCACAGATTTTCTACGGGATTAAGGTCCTGGAGACTGGCTAGGCCACTCCAGGACCTTAATGTGCTTCTTCTTGAGCCACTCCTTTGTTGCTTTGGACGTGTGTTTTGGGTCATTGTCATGCTGGAATACCCATCCACGATCCATGTTCAATGCCCTGGCTGAGGGAAGGAGGTTCTCACCCAAGATTTGACGGTATATGTATAATGTAAAGTGTGTGTGTGTGTGTGTCTATGTGTATAATTTATAGTGTGTGTGTCTGTGTGTATAATGTATAGTGTATGTGTGTGTGTCTGTGTGTATAATGTATAGTTTGTGTGTGTCTGTGTGTATAATGTAGAGTGTGTGTGTCTGTGTGTATAATGTAGAGTGTGTTTGTGTGTCTGTGTGTATAATGTATAGTGTGTGTGTGTGTGTCTGTGTGTATAATGTATAGTGTGTGTGTCTGTGTGTATATTGTATAGTGTGTGTGTGTCTGTGTGTATAATGTATAGTGCATGTGTGTCTGTGTGTGTGTGTGTCTTTGTGTATAATGTAGAGTGTGTGTGTGTCTGTGTGTATAATGTATAGTGTGTGTGTGTCTGTGTGTATAATGTATAGTGTATGTGTGTGTGTCTGTGTGTATAATGTATAGTGTATGTGTGTGTGTCTGTGTGTATAATGTATAGTGTGTGTGTCTGTGTGTATATTGTATAGTGTGTGTGTCTGTGTGTGTGTGTGTGTCTTTGTGTATAATGTAGAGTGTGTGTGTGTCTGTGTGTATAATGTATAGTGTGTGTGTGTCTGTGTGTATAATGTATAGTGTATGTGTGTGTGTGTCTGTGTGTATAATGTATAGTGTATGTGTGTGTGTCTGTGTGTATAATGTATAGTGTGTGTGTGTGTCTGTGTGTATAATGTATAGTGCGTGTGTGTCTGTATGTGTGTCTGTGTGTGTGTGTGTCTTTGTGTATAATGTATAGTGTGTTTGTGTGTCTGTGTGTATAATTTATAGTGTGTGTCTGTGTGTATAATGTATAGTGTATGTGTGTGTCTGTGTGTATAATGTATAGTGTATGTGTGTGTGTCTGTGTGTATAATGTATAGTGTGTGTGTCTGTGTGTATAATGTATAGTGTGTGTGTCTGTCTGTCTGTATAATTTATAGTGTGTGTGTGTGTGTCTGTGTGTATAATGTATAGTGTGTGTGTGTCTGTGTGTATAATGTAGAGTTTGTGTGTCTGTGTATAATTTATAGTGTGTGTGTGTGTCTGTGTGTATAATGTATAGTGTGTGTGTGTCTGTGTGTATAATGTAGAGTGTGTGTATGTCTGTGTGTATAATGTATAGTGTGTGTATGTCTGTGTGTATAATGTAGAGTGTGTGTGTGTGTCTGTGTGTGTGTGTAATGTATAATGTGTGTGTGTCTGTGTGTGTGTATAATGTATAATGTGTGTGTCTGTGTGTGTGTGTAATGTATAATGTGTGTGTCTGTGTGTGTGTAATGTATAATGTGTGTGTAGTGTCTGTGTGTGTCTATGTGTGTGTGACTGTATAATGTGTGTGTGTGTATAATGTATAGTGTTTGTGTGTCTGTGTATAATTTATAGTGTGTATGTGTGTGTCTGTGTGTATAATGTAGAGTGTGTGTGTGTGTGTCTGTGTGTGTGTGTAATGTATAATGTGTGTGTGTGTAGTGTCTGTGTGTGTGTGACTGTGTGTATGTGTGTCTGTGTGTGTGTGTCTGTATGTGTGACTGTGACTGTGTGACTGTGTGTGACTGTGTGACTGTGTGTGTCTGTGTCTGTGTGTGTGACTGTGACTGTGTGTGTGTGTATAATGTGTGAATGTGTGTAATGTATAATGTGTATAATGTATAATGTGTATAATGTGTGTGTGTATAATGTGTATAATGTGTGTGTATATAATGTGTATAATGTGTAATGTATAATGTGTGACTGTGTGTGTGTGACTGTGTGTGTGTGTGACTGTGTGTAATGTATAATGTGTAATGTATAATGTGTGACTGTGTGTGTGTGTGACTGTGTGTGTGTGTGACTGTGTGTAATGTATAATGTGTGTATAATGTGTAATGTATAATGTGTGACTGTGTGTAATGTGTATAATGTGTGTGTGTGTATAATGTGTGTATAACGTGTAATGTATAATGTGTGACTGTGTGTGTGTAGTTTATCAGACAGGCGTATGTGCTGCTGCTGGGTCTGGACGTGATGGGTAACCCGGTGGCACTCCTACGTGGACTCTCAGAGGGAGTTGAAAGCCTCTTTTACGAACCTTACCAGGTGAGACACGCGGGGAGACACGGGGAGACACGGGGAGACACGGGGAGACACGGGGAGACACGCGGGGAGACACGGGGAGACACGGGGAGACACGGGGAGACACACGGGGAGACATATGGGGATAGATGGGGAGACACAGGGAGACACGGGGAGAAATGGGGAGAGACACGGGGAGACACGGGGAGACACGGGGAGACACGGGGAGACACACGGAGACACATGGGGATAGATGGGGAGACACACGGGGAGACACGGGGAGACACGGAGAGACACGGGGAGACACGGGGAGACACGCGGGGAGACACGGGGAGACACGGGGAGACACGGGGAGACACACGGGGAGACATATGGGGATAGATGGGGAGACACAGGGAGACACGGGGAGAAATGGGGAGAGACACGGGGAGACACGGGGAGACACGGGGAGACACGGGGAGACACACGGAGACACATGGGGATAGATGGGGAGACACACGGGGAGACACGGGGAGACACGGAGAGACACGGGGAGACACGGGGAGACACGCGGGGAGACACGGGGAGACACGGGGAGACACGGGGAGACACACGGGGAGACACGGGGAGACACATGGGGATAGATGGGGAGACACAGGGAGACACGGGGAGAAATGGGGAGAGACACGGGGAGACACGGGGAGACACGGGGAGACACGGGGAGACACATGGGGATAGATGGGGAGACACACGGGGAGACACGGGGAGACACGGAGAGACACGGGGAGACACGGGGAGACACGCGGGGAGACACGGGGAGACACGGGGAGACACGGGGAGACACACGGGGAGACACGGGGAGACACGGGGAGACACACGGGGAGACACACGGGGAGACACACGGGGAGACACACGGGGAGACACACGGGGAGACACACGGGGAGACACGCGGGGAGACACGGGGAGACACGAGGAGACACACGGGGAGACACGGGGAGACACGGGGAGACACGAGGAGACACACGGGGAGACACGGGGAGACACGAGGAGACACACGGGGAGACACGGGGAGACACGGGGAGACACGGGGAGACACGAGGAGACACGCGGGGAGACACGCGGGGAGACACGGGGAGACACACGGGGAGACACGGGGAGACACGGGGAGACACATGGGGATAGATGGGGAGACACAGGGAGACACGCAGGGAGACACACGGGGAGAGACACAGGGTTCACGATGGCTGTGTGGTTATGATGATGATGCTGATAGTGATGATGTTCTTGATGATGATGGTGATGCTGATGATGGTGGTGATGATGATGTTGTTGATGGTGATGATGGCGATGATGATGGTGATGCTGATGATGATCGTGATGATGGTGATGATGATCGTGATGATGGTGATGATGATCGTGATAATGGTGATGATCGTGATTGTGGTGATGATGATCAGGGAGCGATCCACGGTCCGGAGGAGTTTGTTGAGGGAGTGGCGATGGGAGTGAAAAGTTTCCTGGGCCACGCCGTGGGTGAGAACCACTCTCACTTAACTCTCACTTAACTCTCTCTTAACTCTCACTTAACTCTCACTTAACTCTCCCTTAACTCTCCATTAACTCTCACTTAACTCTCCCTTAACTCTCACTTAACTCTCCCTTAACTCTCACTTAACTCTCACTTAACTCTCTCTTAACTCTCTCTTATCTCTCCCTTAACTCTCACTTAACCCTCCCTTAACTCTCCCTTAACTCTCCCTTAACTCTCACTTAACTCTCCCTTAACTCTCACTTAACTCTCCCTTAACTCTCCCTTAACTCTCCCTTAACTCTCCCTTAACTCTCCCTTAACTCTCCCTTAACTCTCCTTTAACTCTCACTTAACTCTCCCTTAACTCTCCCTTAACTCTCACTTAACTCTCACTTAACTCTCTCTTAACTCTCACTTAACTCTCACTTAACTCTCCCTTAACTCTCCCTTAACTCTCACTTAACTCTCACTTTAACGCTCCCTTAACTCTCCCTTAACTCTCCATAACTCTCTCTCTAACTATCTCTCTAACTCTCACTTAAACTCTCACTTAAGTCTCACTAACTCTCACTTAACTCTCTCTTAACTCTCTCTTAACTCTCTCTTAACTCTCTCTTAACTCTCACTAACTCTCTAACTATCTCTGTAACTCTCACTAACTCTCTAACTCTCTCTAACTCTCACTTAACTCTCACTTAACTCTCCCTTAACTCTCACTTAACTCTCACTTAACTCTCACTTAACTCTCCGTTAACTCTCCCTTAACTCTCCCTCAACTCTCCCTTAACTCTCACTTAACTCTCACTTAACTCTCACTTAACTCTCCCTTAACTCTCACTTAACTCTCACTTAACTCTCACTTAACTCTCACTTAACTCTCACTTAACTCTCACTTAACTCTCCCTTAACTCTCACTTAACTCTCCCTTAACTCTCTCTTAACTCTCTCTTAACTCTCACTTAACTCTCACTTAACTCTCACTTAACTCTCACTTTAACTCTCCCTTAACTCTCACTTAACTCTCACTTAACTCTCACTTAACTCTCACTTAACTCTCACTTAACTCTCACTTAACTCTCACTTAACTCTCCCTTAACTCTCACATAACTCTCACTTAACTCTCACTTAACTCTCACTTTAACTCTCCCTTAACTCTCCCTTAACTCTCACTTAACTCTCCCTTAACTCTCCCTTAACTCTCACTTAACTCTCACTTAACTCTCCCTTAACTCTCCCTTAACTCTCTCTTAACTCTCACTTAACTCTCCCTTAACTCTCACTTAACTCTCCCTTAACTCTCCCTTAACTCTCACTTAACTCTCCCTTAACTCTCACTTAACTCTCTCTTAACTCTCACTTAACTCTCACTTAACTCTCACTTAACTCTCCCTCAACTCTCCCTTAACTCTCACTTAACTCTCACTTAACTCTCACTTAACTCTCACTTAACTCTCTCTTAACTCTCACTTAACTCTCCCTTAACTCTCCCTTAACTCTCACTTAACTCTCCCTTAACTCTCACTTAACTCTCACTTAACTCTGCATTAACTCTCACTTAACTCTCACTTAACTCTCACTTAACTCTCACTTAACTCTCCCTTAACTCTCCCTTAACACTCCCTTAACTCTCCTTTAACTCTCCCTTAACTCTCACTTAACTCTCACTTAACTCTCACTTAACTCTCCCTTAACTCTCCCTTAACTCTCACTTAACTCTCCCTTAACTCTCCCTTAACTCTCACTTAACTCTCACTTAACTCTCACTTAACTCTCATTTAACTCTCCCTTAACTCTCCCTTAACTCTCCCTTAACTCTCACTTAACTCTCCCTTAACTCTCACTTAACTCTCACTTAACTCTCACTTAACTCTCCCTTAACTCTCACTTAACTCTCACTTAACTCTCCCTTAACTCTCACTTAACTCTCTCACTTAACTCTCCCTTAACTCTCCCTTAACTCTCACTTAACTCTCCCTTAACTCTCACTTAACTTTCACTTAACTCTCACTTAACTCTCACTTAACTCTCACTTAACTCTCACTTAACTCTCCCTTAACTCTCTCTTAACTCTCACTTAACTCTCCCTTAACTCTCACTTAACTCTCCCTTAACTCTCCCTTAACTCTCCCTTAACTCTCCCTTAACTCTCCCTTAACTCTCACTTAACTCTCCCTTAACTCTCCCTTAACTCTCCCTTAACTCTCACTTAACCCTCCCTTAACTCTCACTTAACTCTCACTTAACTCTCACTTAACTCTCACTTAACTCTCACTTAACTCTCCCTTAACTCTCACTTAACTCTCACTTAACTCTCTCTTAACTCTCACTTAACTCTCACTTAACTCTCCCTTAACACTCCCTTAACTCTCACTTAACTCTCACTTAACTCTCACTTAACTCTCCCTTAACTCTCACTTAACTCTCCCTTAACTCTCTCTTAACTCTCACTTAACTCTCACTTAACTCTCACTTAACTCTCCCTTAACTCTCCCTTAACTCTCACTTAACTCTCACTTAACTCTCACTTAACTCTCCCTTAACTCTCACTTAACTCTCCCTTAACTCTCACCTAACTCTCACTTAACTCTCACTTAACTCTCACTAACTCTCACTTAACTCTCACTTAACTCTCTCTTAACTCTCCCTTAACTCTCACTTAACCCTCCCTTAACTCTCCCTTAACTCTCACCTAACTCTCACTTAACTCTCACTTAACTCTCACTTAACTCTCTCTTAACTCTCACTTAACTCTCACTTAACTCTCCCTTAACTCTCCCTTAACTCTCCCTTAACTCTCACTTAACTCTCACATAACTCTCACTTAACTCTCCCTTAACTCTCACTTAACTCTCTCTTAACTCTCCCTTAACTCTCACTTAACTCTCCCTTAACTCTCCCTTAACTCTCCCTTAACTCTCACTTAACTCTCACTTAACTCTCACTTAACTCTCACTTAACTCTCACTTAACTCTCCCTTAACTCTCACTTAACTCTCCCTTAACTCTCCCTTAACTCTCACTTAACTCTCCCTTAACTCTCCCTTAACTCTCACTTAACTCTCACTTAACTCTCCCTTAACTCTCCCTTAACTCTCACTTAACTCTCCCTTAACTCTCCCTTAACTCTCACTTAACTCTCACTTAACTCTCACTTAACTCTCCCTTAACTCTCACTTAACTCTCACTTAACTCTCCCTTAACTCTCACTTAACTCTCACTTAACTCTCCCTTAACTCTCACTTAACTCTCCCTTAACTCTCACTTAACTCACACTTAACTCTCACTTAACTCTAACTTAACTCTCACTTAACTCTCACTTAACTCTCCCTTAACTCTCCCTTAACTCTCTCTTAACTCTCACTTAACTCTCACTTAACTCTCCCTTAACTCTCCCTTAACTCTCACTTAACTCTCACTTAACTCTCACTTTACTCTCCCTTAACTCTCACTTAACTCTCACTTAACTCTCACTTAACTCTCACTTAACTCTCACTTAACTCTCACTTAACCCTCCCTTAACTCTCACTTAACTCTCACTTAACTCTCACTTAACTCTCACTTAACTCTCACTTAACTCTCCCTTAACTCTCCCTTAACTCTCTCACTTAACTCTCACTTTAACTCTCTCTTAACTCTCCCTTAACTCTCTCTTAACTCTCACTTAACTCTCACTTAACTCTCACTTTAACTCTCACTTAACTCTAACTTAACTCTCCCTTAACTCTCACTTAACTCTCACTTAACTCTCACTTTAACTCTCACTTAACTCTCTCTTAACTCTCACTTAACTCTCACTTAACCCTCACTTAACTCTCCCTTAACTCTCACTTAACTCTCCCTTAACTCTCACTTAACTCTCCCTTAACTCTCACTTAACTCTCACTAACTCTCACTAACTCTCACTTAACTCTCACTTAAATCTCACTTAACTCTCTCTTAACTCTCTCTTAACTCTCTCTTAACTCTCACTAACTCTCTAACTATCTCTGTAACTCTCACTAACTCTCTACCTCTCTCTAACTCTCACTTAACTCTCACTTAACTCTCACTTAACTCTCACTAACTCTCACTTAACTCTCACTTAACTCTCACTTAACTCTCACTAACTCTCACTTAACTCTCACTTAACTCTCACTTAACTCTAACTTAACTCTCACTTAACTCTCACTTAACCCTCACTTAACTCTCACTTAACTCTCACTTAACTCTCACTTAACTCTGACTAACTCTCACTTAACTCTCTCTTAACTCTCTCTTAACTCTCACTTACCTCTCACTTAACTCTCACTTAACCCTCACTTAACTCTCCCTTAACTCTCACTTAACTCTCACTTAACTCTCTAACTATCTCTGTAACTCTCACTAACTCTCTAACTCTCACTAACTCTCTAACTCTCTCTCTCTCTCTCTAACTCTCTAACTCTCTCACTATCTAACTAACTAACTCTCTCACTATCCCCAGGTGGTGCAGCTGGCATGGCTTCCCTGATCACGGGCAGCGTGGGTAAAGGCCTCTCTCTCTCTCTCTCACTAACTCTCTATGTCACTACAGGTGGTGCAGCTGGTATGGCGTCTCTGATCACGGGCAGTGTGGGTAAAGGCCTCTCTCTCTCTGTCTCTCACTAACTCTCTATGTCACTACAGGTGGTGCAGCTGGTATGGCGTCTCTGATCACGGGCAGTGTGGGTAAAGGCCTCTCTCTCTCTCTCACTATCTCACTAACTCTCACTAACTCTCTCTAACTCTCTCACTAACTCTAACTCTCTACAGGTGGTGCAGCTGGCATGGCTTCTGTGATCACAGGCAGTGTGGGTAAAGGCCTCTCTCTCTCTAACTCTCTAACTCACTAACTATAACTAACTCTCTAACTCTCTCTAACTCTCTAATTATCACTAACTCTCTCTCTACAGGTGGTGCAGCTGGTATGGCCTCCCTGATCACAGGCAGTGTGGGTAAAGGCCTCTCACTATCTCACTAACTCTCTCTCTCACACTATCTCCCTCTCTATGTCACTACAGGTGGTGCAGCTGGTATGGCGTCTCTGATCACAGGCAGTGTGGGTAAAGGCCTCTCTCTCTCTCTAACTCTCTCTCTCACTATCTCACTAACTAACTCTCTCTCTACAGGTGGTGCAGCTGGTATGGCCTCCCTGATCACAGGCAGTGTGGGTAAAGGCCTCTCTCTCTCTCACTATCTCTCTATGTCACTACAGGTGGTGCAGCTGGTATGGCGTCTCTGATCACGGGCAGTGTGGGTAAAGGCCTCTCACTAACTCTCTCTCTACAGGTGGTGCAGCTGGTATGGCGTCCCTGATCACGGGCAGTGTGGGTAAAGGCCTCTCTCTCTCTCTAACTCTAACTAACTAACTATCTCACTACAGGTGGTGCAGCTGGTATGGCCTCTCTAATCACGGGCAGTGTGGGTAAAGGCCTCTCTCTCTCTCACTATCTCTCTCACTATCTCTCTCTCTATGTCACTACAGGTGGTGCAGCTGGCATGGCTTCTCTGATCACGGGCAGTGTGGGTAAAGGCCTCTCTCTCTAACTCTCTCTCTCTCACTAACTCTCTCTAACTCTCTCTCTAACTCTCTAACACTCTCACTATCTCACTAACTCTATCCCCAGGTGGTGCAGCTGGTATGGCGTCCCTGATCACAGGCAGTGTGGGTAAAGGCCTCTCTCTCTCTCACTATCTCTCTCACTATCTCTCTATGTCACTACAGGTGGTGCAGCTGGTATGGCGTCCCTGATCACAGGCAGTGTGGGTAAAGGCCTCTCTCTCACTAACTAACTCTCTCACTATCACCAGGTGGTGCAGCTGGTATGGCGTCTCTGATCACGGGCAGTGTGGGTAAAGGCCTCTCTCTCTAACTCTCTCACTAACTCTCTCTAACTCTCTCTCTAACTCTCTCACTAACTCTCTCTAACTCTCTCTCTAACTCTCTAACTCTCTAACTATCTCACTATCTCTCTACAGGTGGTGCAGCTGGTATGGCGTCTCTGATCACGGGCAGTGTGGGTAAAGGCCTCTCTCTCTCTCACTAACTCTCTAACTAACTCACTAACTCTATCCCCAGGTGGTGCAGCTGGTATGGCCTCCCTGATCACAGGCAGTGTGGGTAAAGGCCTCTCTCTCTCTCTCTAACTCACTAACTCACTAATTATCTCTCTATGTCACTACAGGTGGTGCAGCTGGTATGGCCTCCCTGATCACGGGCAGTGTGGGTAAAGGCCTCTCTCACTATCTCTCTCTCTCTCTATGTCACTACAGGTGGTGCAGCTGGTATGGCGTCTCTGATCACGGGCAGTGTGGGTAAAGGCCTCTCTCTCTCTCTCTAACTCTCTCACTATCTCACTAACTCTCTATGTCACTACAGGTGGTGCAGCTGGTATGGCGTCCCTGATCACGGGCAGTGTGGGTAAAGGCCTCTCTCTCTCTCTCTCTAACTAACTCTCTCTCTCACTAACTCTCTCTCTCTAACTATCTCTCTATGTCTCTACAGGTGGTGCAGCTGGCATGGCCTCTCTAATCACGGGCAGTGTGGGTAAAGGCCTCTCTCTCTCTCTCTCTCACTATCTCTCTAACTATCTCTCTATGTCACTACAGGTGGTGCAGCTAGCATGGCCTCCCTGATCACAGGCAGTGTGGGTAAAGGCCTCTCTCTCTCTCACTAACTAACTCTCTCACTATCTCTCTATGTCACTACAGGTGGTGCAGCTGGTATGGCGTCCCTAATCACAGGCAGTGTGGGTAAAGGCCTCTCTCTCTCTCTCTCTCACTATCTCTCTCTCTCTCTCTCTACAGGTGGTGCAGCTGGTATGGCCTCTCTGATCACGGGCAGTGTGGGTAAAGGCCTCTCTCTCTCTCACTGTCACCAGGTGGTGCAGCTGGTATGGCCTCCCTGATCACGGGCAGTGTGGGTAAAGGCCTCTCTCTCTATCTCACTATCTCTAACTCTCTCACTCTCTCTCTCACTAACTCTCTATGTCTCTACAGGTGGTGCAGCTGGCATGGCCTCCTTGATCACGGGCAGTGTGGGTAAAGGCCTCTCTCTCTATCACTAACTCTCTCACTCTCTCTATGTCACTACAGGTGGTGCAGCTGGTATGGCGTCTCTGATCACGGGCAGTGTGGGTAAAGGCCACTCTCTCTCTAACTCTCTAACTCACTAACTATAACTAACTCTCTAACTCTCTCTAACTCTCTAATTATCACTAACTCTCTCTCTACAGGTGGTGCAGCTGGTATGGCTTCCCTGATCACGGGCAGTGTGGGTAAAGGCCTCTCTCTCTCTATCACTATCTCTCTAACTAACTCTCTATGTCACTACAGGTGGTGCAGCTGGCATGGCCTCCCTGATCACAGGCAGTGTGGGTAAAGGCCTCTCTCTCTATCACTAACTCTCTCACTCTCTCTATGTCACTACAGGTGGTGCAGCTGGCATGGCCTCCCTGATCACAGGCAGTGTGGGTAAAGGCCTCTCTCTCTATCACTAACTCTCTCACTCTCTCTATGTCACTACAGGTGGTGCAGCTGGTATGGCGTCTCTGATCACAGGCAGTGTGGGTAAAGGCCTCTCTCTCTATCACTAACTCTCTCACTCTCTCTATGTCACTACAGGTGGTGCAGCTGGTATGGCCTCCCTGATCACAGGCAGTGTGGGTAAAGGCCTCTCTCTCTCACTACAGGTGGTGCAGCTGGTATGGCCTCCCTGATCACGGGCAGTGTGGGTAAAGGCCTCTCTCTCTCTCTCACTATCTCACTAACTCTCACTAACTCTCTAACTCTCTCACTAACTCTAACTCACTACAGGTGGTGCAGCTGGTATGGCCTCCCTGATCACGGGCAGTGTGGGTAAAGGCCTCTCTCTCTCACACTCTCTCCCTCTCTATGTCTCTACAGGTGGTGCAGCTGGCATGGCCTCCCTGATCACGGGCAGTGTGGGTAAAGGCCTCTCTCTCTCTCACTATCTCACTAACTAACTCTCTATGTCACTACAGGTGGTGCAGCTGGTATGGCCTCCCTGATCACGGGCAGTGTGGGTAAAGGCCTCTCTCTCTCTCACTAACTCTCTCTCACTAACTCTCTATGTCACTACAGGTGGTGCAGCTGGTATGGCCTCCCTGATCACGGGCAGTGTGGGTAAAGGCCTCGCCGCGGTGACGCTGGACGAGGAGTTTCAGCGCCAGCGCCGTGCCGACCGCAACCGGCCGGCGGGCGACCTCAAGGAGAGTCTGGCGCGGGGCGGCAAGGGCCTGCTCAAGGTGGGCCGGGGTCACCGGGGTCACCGGGTCACTGGGTCACTGGGGCAGTGGGTCAGTGGGTGACTGGGTGACTGGGTGACTGGGTCAGTGGGTGACTGGGTCAGTGGGTGACTGGGTCACTGGGTCACTGGGGCAGTGGGTCAGTGGGTGACTGGGTCACTGGGTCACTGGGTCACTGGGGCAGTGGGTGACTGGGTGACTGGGTCACTGGGTGACTGGGTCAGTGGGTGACTGGGTCGGTGGGTGACTGGGTCGGTGGGTGACTGGGTCAGTGGGTGACTGGGTCGGTGGGTGACTGGGTCAGTGGGTGACTGGGTCAGTGGGTGACTGGGTCACTGGGTCACTGGGGCAGTGGGTCAGTGGGTGACTGGGTCACTGGGTCACTGGGTCACTGGGGCAGTGGGTGACTGGGTGACTGGGTCACTGGGTGACTGGGTCAGTGGGTGACTGGGTCGGTGGGTGACTGGGTCGGTGGGTGACTGGGTCAGTGGGTCACTGGGTCGGTGGTTGACTGGGTCAGTGGGTGACTTGGTCAGTGGGTCACTGGGTCGGTGGTTGACTGGGTCAGTGGGTGACTGGGTCAGTGGGTGACTGGGTCGATGGGTGACTGGGTCAGTGGGTCACTGGGTCGGTGGTTGACTGGGTCAGTGGGTGACTTGGTCAGTGGGTGACTGGGTCAGTGGGTGACTGGGTCAGTGGGTCACTGGGTCGGTGGTTGACTGGGTCAGTGGGTGACTGGGTCAGTGGGTGACTGGGTCAGTGGGTGACTGGGTCAGTGGGTGACTGGGTCAGTGGGTCACTGGGTCGGTGGTTGACTGGGTCAGTGGGTGACTTGGTCAGTGGGTGACTGGGTCAGTGGGTGACTGGATCAGTGGGTGACTTGGTCGGTGGGTGACTGGGTCGGTGGGTGACTGGGTCAGTGGGTGACTGGGTCAGTGGGTGACTGGGTCAGTGGGTGACTGGGTCAGTGGGTGACTGGGTCAGTGGGTGACTGGGTCAGTGGGTCACTCGGTCGGTGGTTGACTGGGTCAGTGGTTGACTGGGTCAGTGGGTGACTTGGTCAGTGGGTGACTGGGTCAGTGGGTGACTGGGTCAGTGGGTGACTTGGTCGGTGGGTGACTGGGTCAGTGGGTGACTGGGTCAGTGGGTGACTTGGTCAGTGGGTGACTGGGTCAGTGGGTGACTGGGTCAGTGGGTGACTGGGTCAGTGGGTGACTGGGTCGGTGGGTGACTGGGGCAGTAAGTGACTGGGTCAGTAGGTGACTGGGTCAGTGGGTGACTGGGTCAGTGGGTGACTGGGTCAGTGGGCAACTGGGTCAGTGGGCGACTGGGTCAGTGGGTGACTGGGTTGGTGGTTGGCTGGGTCAGTGGGTCACTTGCCCCTGCAGCCCATGTGAAGGCTACCTGGGGGACATTTGTCTGTGTCTGTGTACAGGGTGTTGTGGGTGGAGTGACTGGGATCTTTACAAAACCTGTAGAAGGTGAGAGGCACTCACTCACCACTCACTCGCCACTCACTCACCACTCACTCACCACTCACTCACCACTCACTCACTCACTCACCCATTCACTCACTCACCACTCACTCACTCACTCACCACTCACCACTCACTCACCACTCACTCACTCACTCACCACTCACTCACCACTCACTCACCACTCACTCACCACTCACCACTCACTCACCACTCACTCACCCACCACTCACTCACTCACCCACTCACTCACCCACTCACTCACCCACTCACTCACCCACTCACCCACTCACCACTCACTCACTCACTCACCCACTCACTCACCACTCACTCACCACTCACTCACCACTCACCACTCACTCACCACTCACTCACCCACCACTCACTCACTCACCCACTCACTCACCCACTCACTCACCCACTCACTCACCCACTCACCACTCACTCACTCACTCACCCACTCACTCACCACTCACTCACCACTCACTCACCACTCACTCACCACTCACCACTCACTCACCACTCACTCACCCACCACTCACTCACTCACCCACTCACTCACCCACTCACTCACCCACTCACCACTCACTCACTCACTCACCACTCACCACTCACTCACCACTCACTCACCACTCACTCACCACTCACCACTCACTCACTCACCACTCACTCACCACTCACTCACCACTCACTCACTCACCACTCACTCACCCACTCACTCACCACTCACTCACCACTCACCACTCACTCACTCACCACTCACTCACCACTCACTCACCACTCACTCACCACTCACCACTCACTCACCACTCACTCACCACTCACTCACCACTCACTCACCACTCACTCACTCACCACTCACTCACCACTCACTCACCACTCACTCACTCACTCACCACTCACTCACCACTCACTCACCACTCACTCACTCACTCACCACTCACTCACCACTCACTCACCACTCACTCACTCACTCACCACTCACTCACCACTCACTCACCACTCACTCACTCACTCACCACTCACTCACCACTCACTCACCACTCACTCACTCACTCACCACTCACTCACCACTCACTCACCACTCACCACTCACTCACCACTCACTCAACCACTCACTCACTCACCCACTCACTCACCCACTCACTCACTCACTCACCCACTCACCACTCACTCACTCACCCACTCACTCACCACTCACTCACCACTCACTCACTCACTCACCAACTCACTCACCCACTCACTCACTCACCCACTCACCACTCACTCACTCACCCACTCACTCACCACTCACTCACCACTCACTCACCACTCACTCACTCACCACTCACTCACCACTCACTCACCACTCACTCACCACTCACCACTCACTCACCACTCACTCACCACTCACTCACTCACCACTCACTCACCACTCACTCACCACTCACTCACTCACCACTCACTCACCCACTCACTCACCCACTCACTCACCCACTCACCACTCACTCACTCACTCACCCACTCACTCACCACTCACTCACCACTCACTCACCACTCACCACTCACTCACCACTCACTCACCCACCACTCACTCACTCACCCACTCACTCACCCACTCACTCACCCACTCACCACTCACTCACTCACTCACCACTCACTCACCACTCACTCACCACTCACCACTCACTCACTCACCACTCACTCACCACTCACTCACCACTCACTCACTCACCACTCACTCACCCACTCACTCACCACTCACTCACCACTCACCACTCACTCACTCACCACTCACTCACCACTCACTCACCACTCACTCACCACTCACCACTCACTCACCACTCACTCACCACTCACTCACCACTCACCACTCACTCACTCACCACTCACTCACCACTCACTCACCACTCACTCACCACTCACCACTCACTCACTCACCACTCACTCACCACTCACTCACCACTCACCACTCACTCACCACTCACTCACCACTCACTCACTCACTCACCACTCACTCACCACTCACTCACCACTCACTCACTCACTCACCACTCACTCACCACTCACTCACCACTCACTCACCCACTCACTCACCACTCACTCACCACTCACTCACCACTCACTCACTCACTCACCACTCACTCACCACTCACTCACCACTCACTCACTCACTCACCACTCACTCACCACTCACTCACCACTCACCACTCACTCACCACTCACTCAACCACTCACTCACTCACTCACCCACTCACTCACCCACTCACTCACTCACTCACCCACTCACCACTCACTCACTCACCCACTCACTCACCACTCACTCACCACTCACTCACTCACTCACCAACTCACTCACCCACTCACTCACTCACTCACCCACTCACCACTCACTCACTCACCACTCACTCACCACTCACTCACCACTCACTCACTCACCACTCACTCACCACTCACTCACCACTCACTCACCACTCACCACTCACTCACCACTCACTCACCACTCACTCACTCACCACTCACTCACCACTCACTCACCACTCACTCACTCACCACTCACTCACCACTCACTCACCACTCACCACTCACTCACTCACCACTCACTCACCACTCACTCACTCACTCACCACTCACTCACCACTCACTCACCACTCACTCATCACTCAATCACTCACCCACTCACTCACCACTCACTCACCACTCACTCACCACTCACCACTCACTCACCACTCACTCACCACTCACCACTCACTCACCACTCACTCACCACTCACCACTCACTCACCACTCACTCACCACTCACTCACTCACTCACCCACTCACTCACCCACTCACTCACTCACCACTCACTCACCACTCACTCACCACTCACCCACCACTCACTCACCACTCACCACTCACTCACTCACTCACCACTCACTCACCACTCACTCACCACTCACTCACCACTC